CCCCACCATAAGAGACTCTTAACAATGGGAAACAAACTGAGGGTTGCTGGAGGGGAAGTAGGTGTGGGGATGGGTTTATTGAGTGATGGGCATTAAAGAGAACACGTGATGTAATGACCACTGGGTGTTATATGGAACTGATGAATAACTGAACTCTATCTCTGAAACTAATGATACAGTATATGTTAATTAATTGAATTTAAATAAGATAAAGAAAAAAAAGAAATCTGCATTTGATCCTTTGGCAGGGAGCTATGTTTGTTTGTGAAGATGAAAAAGAAGAGAAACTATACCTTGTTGAAAGTTTATTGACAATTTTTATGCAATACAGGAGGTCATGACAATAAATTCAAAAGTAGTAGTATGAAGTACCAGTGGTGGCACAAAAGATGCAAATATTCTGACTAATCAACTACTGCAGCATTTTTTGTTCAGGACATGGAATGTATTACAATATTATTAGAGAAATTTTGGCTCCAAAATCATGTTTCTTAGCTCCCTGGTTAGGTTTGTCAATGGTCAATTAAAATAAAATCTGGGAAGTCCAAAATCTGAGTCTCAGACATTTTTTAAAAATGCTTATTTTATCCCAAAGCACTCAAATCACTTTGTTATATAGTTCTGAATATAGTTCCAAGTGCTATTTACTTCTTCCATTCACTGTTTTCTAACCAAAGAGCTTAGTGATTATGGAGCCTTACAAAAAAAAAAAAAAACCTGCACCAAACAAGAGGAGTAGAGTACAGTGCTACAGTTAAATAAAAGAACAGACATATGCCCCACTAAGAAAAGAAAGGATAATGGTAAATATCTTAATTCCATGCTATATTCTCATTTCTTCTTGGGTTAGTTCTTATCTTGAGTTAGTTTGTTTTCTGTTGGCCTCAAATGATTATTCGAAGTAATAACACATTTGTTCTTGGGCATATTCATAGAGTGGAGTGTTGCTATCTAAGTAAAAGGAACCTGAGTTTGTTCTCTCCCTTTTATGGCAACCTCTGGCCTCCATGTTTCTTGCCTGCTTATCGTCCACATCCTGACTATATATTCTGATGCTTCCTAACAAACTTGATTCGGGCCCTTGCTTTTGCCTTTCCCCACTCCACATGATTGTACTGCTTGATAAATATCTATACCCATATTCTTCAGTTCCTTTAGGGTCTTGGCTATCATGAGAGTGACTGGAAATGAATCCTTGACTTCTGCTTCTGCTGTCAATTGACTGCCCATAGCTGTCACTTGATTGTCAATGGCTATATACTTGTCTTTCATTGGTGCTGAATCCAGATTGACCCTGGATGTCTCCTGATTGTCTATTACTTGATCCCTGTCTTACTAAACTTGTGCTGGATCTTTCCTGCTCATGAGAAGATGTATCTCCCAAATGCTGCTGGCTGGATCCATGTATACCTATAGTGCTGAATTCTGATTGTCCATGCCTAGACCCTGATGGTTCATGAATCTGTTTCCCCCAATCTTCTGAATGCTCTTTATTATCACTATGGGATCCATGCTTTAGAGTTGAACTAAATGCTGAATGGCTGTGAGCTAATATGGACTCTCCATGGCTGGATACAGAATGATTGCTTGGCTGCCTATGAGTAGTAGATCCCTGCCTTCCATATGGAACATGGGTGTCACTTGATGGTTCGTGGCTTACTACTGAATGCCCATGAATAGATCCTTGCCTTCTAATTACATTGGATCCAGACTTATTATGGAACTCAATTGACTGTCCATGACTTGAGCTTTGTCTTCCTACTATTTCAGTTGCTTTTGATCCTGTATGGTTAAACCTAGAAACTGATTGTCCATGTGTAGACACTTGATTGTTTGCAGCTCTATCTAATGACTGCAAAGGGCTAGAATTGCAGCTGCTTGTTCTGCTGCCCCCAGAAGGTCCATACCCAGACTGCCCATAGTCATATTCTGCACTTCCATAACTGCCATGTTTCCATCCTTGACCTGATCCATGTCGTTGTCTTCCACTAATCTGTGACTCAGAATGACTTATTCTAGATTGGGGATGACTGCTATGTGACTGTTTCCTTATGCTATCCTTGGACTGCCTATGAGTATCACGTGACTGTGTATGGCTGGACCCATGTCTCTCTATTGTGCCAGTTCCTAACTGCCCATGGGAAGATGTGGTATGTCCCTGAACAGAGCCTGATGATGTAGATTTGTCTCCTGTCTGCTCATGGGAGGACCCAAAATTCTGTGAACTTCTAGAAACTGGTTGCTTATGAATTGATGTCCGCCCTTGATCTATGACTGAATGTTTAGAACTATCTCCTGACTGTTCATTCCTAGATTTATACTTTCCAGTTGTATCAGTACCAGTGTGTTTGGGGACAGACCCGGAATGCCCATGGCTCAAAACTGAGTGCCTTTCATTGTCATTGGCCGCATGGACAGTAGATCCCCTTCTCCCAGTCCTATTGGATTCTGTCCTGGTGGGATGTCCATCCCCAGATCCAGCATGTCCCCTGGTGTTTCCTGACTGTCCATGAATAGTTCCCTGTCTCCCTTTGACTGTGGACCCTGACTCTCCATGTTGAGATCCAGAGAGGCCATGAGAGGATCCTGCATGTGGTTGTGAGACTCCTGAGTGCCTTTCAGTGTCACTGGACTCACTGGCACTAGATCCCCTTCTTGCAGCCCAGGTGGATTCTGTCCTGGTGACTTGTCCATGACCAGACTGAGCATCTCTATTGGTGTCTCCTGACTGTGCATGAGTAGTTCCCTGTTTCCCTTTAGCTGTGGATCCTGACTCTCCATGTTGAGATCCAGAGTGGGCTTGAGAGGATCCTGCGTGTGTCTGGGGGACACGAGAGTGCCTTTCAGTGTCACTGGACTCACTGACACTGGATCCCCTTGTAGCCCTACTGGACTCTGTCCTGGTGGCTTGTCCATGACCAGACCTAGCTTGTCCCCTGGTGTCTCCTGACTGTCCATGAGTAGTTCCCTGTGTCCCTTTAGCTGTGTATCCTGACTCTCCATGTTGAGATCCAGAGTGTGCATGAGAGGATCCTGTGTGTGTCTGTGAGACTCCTGAGTGGCTTTCAGTGTCACTGGACTCACTGACACTAGATCCTCTTCTTGTAGCTCTTCTGGATTCTGTCCTGGTGGCTTGTCCATGCCCAGACCCAGCATGTCTGGTGTCTCCTAACTGTCCATGAGTAGTTCCCTGTGTCCCTTTAGCTGTGGATCCTGACTCTCCATGTTGAGATCCAGAGTGGGCATGAGAGGATCCTGCATGTGTCTGTGGGACTCCTGA